CCCGTGTTCTATCGGTGCTTGGGATTTGTCCACAATCAGTCCAGAACTTTGTGACGGGCCTGAGAACTAACAGCTTTAACAAAATCTAGGATATTCTTCTAGCCTGAAATAATTCTTCCACCTATCTGGCCGTACCTGTAGCAAAGGCAAATAGGGAAGCCTCCGTGACCTTGAAATGAACACATCTGAACTGACCTTCTTGAAGAGAAACATGAAATAAATAGGTTACAGTCACTTCTTTGGTAAGAGACAGGCCACCAAGATAAGGAAGCCTTTTACAAAGTCACAGGCACTTCTGGAAAAAGCGTACCACAGTGACGGAAAACGAGTCAACGAATCCATCATTTCAAAGCTCAGGTCTTATGGAAATGCTCTTAGATTTGCAGCACCTGGAAATATTACTGGAATTGGAGAATGGAGTGATAAATGAATTAAGTCAGTATTGCAGGGACTCAGGAGGACAGCTATCAGATCTGGAACCTCACCACTTCCTCTAGCTTTTATTCCTCCTCTCAGACTCGAAGGAATGAGGGTGAAACAGCACAGCTCTCCAGAGCTGGCGAGACCCAAGGTAACCTGCCTCCCCCTGACAGCCATCAGCCAGGGGGTACGGGGCCTGTTTGCAAGCCTTTTAGCTGTAGACAAGGTTAACCCTGCCCACACGGTTTAAGATATGGTCAAAGACAAAGATGACACAACTAGGACAGACGCGTCGAGGAGTTCTCCTAAGGTCTTGGAAATCAGCAAGTAATTGGACACCAGTGCTATAAAATGTTGTTACAGAATTAGCTGAACTCCGACGTAACAACATGGGAGACCTCTCACAACACCCCACCACCAGCTACCTGTCTCCAAAACTGAACTTCTTGCCCAACATCTATGACTTCCATGGGTATTTTTCTTCCTCATTCCTCAGTTTTTTGTCATTCCTCGCTTTTTTTGTCCCGAGAACCTCGCCCCTGCAGTCTTCTTACAGGGATTCTCTGTTGGATATCCACTTGTTTCCTAGTTAAATATAGTCCGAGGCCATTTCATTGCACGCTTGCAGTGAAATGAACCCTGGGCCGGCCCTATTAAGATCAACCATTCTTCTCATTTACTCGAGCCATCCCATTAGTTATCAGTGGTGACTTTGAAAGGAAAGGATAGTTTTATACCCTGCTCAGCTCTCACTGCAGCAGGCACTTACAAATAACTGAAGCTTTTTTTTTTTTTTTCCAGAAAAAGCAGCCTTGCTTTAGAGCTGACAGGGCGATCCATAAAGTCACACAGCAACCAAACTGCTTCCAGACCAGCCCCGCTGTGTGGCCACAGGTCTGCTCCCTCCTGGCATATGAAGCAAGGGTGTTGAATTTGCCTGGGATGCCTGGATGGTCACTGACCACGCAGTTATCAGTGCGGAAAAGAAAGGCTGATAACACCAGGCAGGGCAAAGGTGTGTGCAAGACAGCCAAGCACTCCACACGGCACTGCTCCAAACCCAAACTTTACAGTGACCGTTCCCCTCTGCCCCCCTCCTGCAGCTCACTCGCTACAGACACCCAAATATTCTGAGTGGCCTCACTGTGACATGACCGGGCTGTGGCCAGCAATATTCTGCTTTTAAAGAAAGCACAGTTCTCCTAAGGCAGCAAAAGTAAGAGGTAATTTTTTATTTTTTTTTTCCTTAATTCCAAACCCCAAGGAGTACCAGTCTTCATAACCCACTGTCACTGCTGGACCATGTCACCTCCAAGGTTAACAACACCGACGAACAGAACCTATTAAGTGGTTCACTACATCCGAGTGCACCTCTCTCAGTCCACCTCCGAGGGAACAAAGAGAAGCGATTTCTCTCCAGCTACTGAAACAAGGGAGCCCACAAAATGTCACATATGTTCTTTTCAGGTGCTCAGCACTGTAACGTCTGAGGTACTATAAATCCCCTGGAATTAAGCAGAGTCCAAGAGATTGTTCTAGCTCTTCTGGCAAGATTGGAAATTAATACAGACTAGGCTGACCCTTCCACTCGCGGGGATTTAGGCAGCTTGTCAATATCACGAGCAAGAGAAAGGACAAACACAGGAAAACTGCAATGAAAGATCTGCTTATCTAGCTAAATGCACAAGCCCCACCACCGAGCGCAGAAAGGGCAGAATGCAGAATAGCTCCTTGGAAGAGCTGTGAAGCAACAGATACTTCTGAAGCGCAGCTGGGCAGCACCACCGCTTTCTCAAACAAAGGGGGCTGCGGCCTCACTGACAACTCACGAAAATAACAGCGTCTAAAAATGAGTTAATACGAAATGCATCCTCACAAAGGGAATATATAAAACCCGAAACACAGGGCTCAGGTTCCACAGCGAGAAGTATGCTAGCAATTTCTACAGAAGCGTTCATTTACAGTGTGTCAAAAGCTAATCCAGGTCAATTCACTACCTAAAAGTCAAGGTTTTGCGAAACGCCTGTTCTTTTCTTGCTAAGCATGCTCCCTTCCCTGAAGCACAATCAATGCCAATCAAACCCCGCACACGAGCAGAGCTCTAGCGGAGAGATGCAGCCCATACAAATGAAAAATGCCACGAAAGGCAGGCCTGACAAAGCCTACAGCACAGCTTTTCCATTAGACCCTTTCATAAAACACAGCCAGAGCGCGAATATAGAGTGCTGGCTAGAAAGCCCTCCCGAGTCATAAATCACATGGTACATGCGCAGCATAAGTGGAGTTTATTCATGACGGACAGTATTTCAACAGGGCTTGATAGATGGCTAAGGAAAAGGAGCCAGACTTTATGGAGGATAGAAATAGTTACACAAGAGATTCTTCATTAGCGAGAGAACCTTAATGATATGAAGCATAGCCAAGCAGAGTCAGACTGAAAGCTGGGGCTGCCCTGCTCTTCCCTATCAAGGAAGCAGGCAGCGTCACCTCTCTGCAGCTGCTGCTTGCTCGCTGCCTGCTGGTACCAGGCGAGAAGTTGGTCCACGCATCACTACATAGAAACTCCACTGACAGGCAGTTCTGCTCTGAACTGACAGCAGTGCCATCAGAGGAGATATCGGGCAGCACTGCAGTCAGAGTACTGGAGCTCAAGCGAGGCACTGGGAAGAAAAGCTCTCATGATCCCCTACGTGGCGGAAGGTTAATTGCTTAGATCTACCTCACCAGCACACCATCAAACCAACTCCTGACTATCCCTCCTACCCACAGAAGAATAGTGGGAAACAAGCCAGTCCGCCCCTATTTAAGAATTGCTCCCGGCTGTAATCTGAGCTGCTAAACTTGATCCGTCAAACACCTGTTATTCTTGGACAAGCTCATTTTGCACCACGTATCAGCAGCACAGACAGAAGCTCTGATGCTATGCAGGAAGAGAGGGCAGCATGCATGGCATGTTACACTGCTGTAGGCAAGTAGAACACAGTATTGGATGCGTCTTCACCCAAGGACCTGCCAGTGCAAGAGCAGTTACAGACACTGCTAGAGCAGCATACTCTGTGTTAGGAAGTTCTGTGGCAACAGCTTGTAAGGGAAAGGCTACATCATTTCGGTTCTGAACTTGCCACGCGAACCACCACCACAGCTCAGGACAGCTGGCTCAGTAGAGAGCCACCCCGCAGAGACCGAGAGACGTCAGACACCGCAAAGCCACATCACCGCAGTCCGCAGTCGGCTACTGCTGAACAGGAGTAAAATACCCCGTTTAAGTGTCCACATGAGCACTTAGCCATCTCCCAGCATGGACAGAGAGTCGATAGTGCCCTCTCCTGGCAAAGAGAGCATGAGATGTTACCGGCAAAATCGTGAATACAAGATTTCAACACAAGTGGGAACTTGCAGAAACCAAAGCTGCCTGGAAAAGGTTCAGTTTAATAACAATTCCTCCTTCCCTTCTCCTTCCCACGCACACAGGAGGGAAGGCCACATGGAACACTAGATGCCTACAGGCAGTTTAAATGAGATCTCTGTAATATTGCTAGTGACCCACACTCAAAATCGGCCACAACGGGAAGCCAGCTGTCCGCTAAAAACAGGATTGAGCTCACCAAACTGACAGCACACTGATGACAGGATGATTATGTGGGAAGGACAAACTAGCATAATGAAAGGAAGCCGTGAAAGGTACTTGCACCCTGATTATGGGCTAGATTAGAAAGCTCACTGCTCTATCAACGTCTTATTAACTTGCTTTACTTTTTCTGGGTACACCTTTTCAAGTGTTAATTTAACCAATATGACCTAATCAGCGCATTGGTTTGTAACTGCGCTTGAGAAAAAAAGAAAAAAAAAATTCCATTATCCACCTCTAACTAAAACCTATATATGCAATTTTTTGTCACTTTGTGGGAAATAAAAGTCACCCTGAATGGCCTGGTATGGTAAGCTATAATAGGTTTATTTAAAAATACAGCTGTCCTCTCTGTGTACCGTGATCTTCTAGTCTTGTTAAAGAGCCTCTGTCACCAGGGCCTGGAAGACTTAATATACGACGTTTATTATGATTAGAAATCATTTGTACAGCACTGTAAATTCACACAGCACTTTCCCAAGACCATTTATAAGTCTAATGGCACTATAAATCCCCGTTAGCTTCCACACTTTATTCCCCAGAATCTCTATTTATTCAAATAATCTCGTCCCCCCCACACTGTAATCTTGTCTTTGAATACATCAAGCCACAGTCACACGCTGGGCTGCCCATCTCCCCAGTGACAGGCTGGGTGGATTGCTAAAACACCCTGCACTATACTCTAACATACCAAGTATTTGAACACACATATTCAAAAAAAAAAAAAAAAGGTTTTACTATTAGAACCAAATGTCCCTAACAACAGCATGATAATGACAGAGATATTTGGCTTTCAAAGCGCACTGGCAAACAATGCCGCTGTCTGTCTCGCTGTTTGCCGCGAAGAGCCCTCACGCACGCGAGCACTTCCTTGGGTTCTTGCAATCTGCATTAAATGGCTCAAGCATGCACGCCCCCAGCAGCAGGCCCTCCCCCCTGCCACCACACCTACTTGATGCTGTCGGTGTGCGTTTTGTATTCCATGATGGTGTTGGGAGGTAGGTTGAGCACCCTTCGTAACGTATCGCGTATCCGGGCTGTCGTGGCCTGGTCGCTGGCGGTCTTGTTCCATATCGAGATAATATCCTCCTAGAGAACAGCAGGTGAGGGGTAAGCAGATGGCACTTTCCGCAGTCCTGCCAAACGGAAGTACGTTCCAGCTCTCAGAGCCGCTTACCTGGAATCGGACAGAGACAACTGCCCCGCAGATTTCTTCCCCCACCATAAACTGTTCTCCCAACATTGCCAGAATGAGATTCTCCCAGCACCGTGACGCTAAGCCCTTTCGCAGACGGATAATCCATTTACCACCATTTTTGTTGGCATCATCCTAGGAAGAGGGGCAAGAAATCGACTTGTTTTCTTCTAGTTAGTTTTTTGCTTCCCACAAGACAGCAGAGCCACAGACGGGAGCAGATATTGATTGGGTGGGGCAAGGGACAGAATGGAGGTATTTTCAAGCAAAATTATTTCATTTCTCCCACACACAAGCAGAGACAGAGGCACACCACTTACCCTGAATACCAAGTATTTGAAACAATGACTCTCAGCTTGCCAGAGGAAGCTCCATGCACTGAAGACTTTAGATCTAGTGTTTTGGTCCCACTAGCAAAGACTAACAGCAGCCCCAGTCTGCACACAGACCAGAGGCAAAGACCCCAAAACTATTACAAAACCCAAGACCGATTCTCCCTTTGTCTAATCCTCTGTATATGCTTGTAAACCAGGAAAAATCCCTCATCACAAAACACGGAAGGCAAGAAGAGTTTGCAAAGTGATATTTAAAAGTAAGAGAAAAGTTGATAAACACCTTCCTTCCACATTTCCAGGAACAGGCTCACAAGCTGTGTTAACAAAGAACCAGTCCTTCCTCTGGGAACCACTGGCATTATCCCACATCACACAGCTGGATGTTTGTTCCAGACTGCGGTGACCCAGGGACAGAACCAAGAATTAGCGGGGAGAGTAAAGAAAACAATTATGCTAAGCACCCAGTCCATCGCCTCAATGTTGTGATTCCACACGCTGCACCGGAAAGAGAGCTGAGAACTGCTACAGACGCCCCTGCTTCACAGAACACACAGCTAGGACAAACATAGCTCCTCTGGGCAGAACACCACGGCATTCTCTTGTACGACACCATAGCTGGGCTATCTCACAAGGAGAGGGGAAAAAATTCCATTCAAAGACAAAAAGTAGAGAGGTGGAATAAGTGAGAGAGGTGGCAGTTAGGAAGGGAAAGGGAAGACAGGTCTAGAACAGAAAGAGAGAAAAACAAAGGGTCCCTGGCCAAGTCACCAGCAATTCCCACTGCCAAGCTGGGACAAACCATAAAGATGCCAGGCAAGGCAGCCTAGTCCTTCTTAAAGGACCAAAGTTAACTTATTTTAGCCTTAAAGCCTCTCTAGGGCTTCCACAAAACCGAACATCTGTGTGCTCTCAGAGACAGCAAGCGCTCGCAAAGCAATCCTGAGCAAACATGGAAGTGCCAGCAGCGTTCACCAGACTCCCAGATTTCAGGTAAGTGCTAAAGCCTGCGCTGAAAGGGGAAGGCGTCAGCTCCAGACAAACCTCAGAGCACGACAGCAGCCAAATGCAAGGTGAAGAATCCAAATCCACACAAGTCCGAGGAACGTGGCATAATCCCACGAGATGTAAACTATTTTCTCATTAAGTGTCCTTGCTTTCCAAGTTATGAACTTCACACTCTAAGAATTAAGCTGCTTGGCTTCAGCCTTTAAGCAGGGAGTTGGGTTTAACCCCGCAGACTTTCCACAATGACTGATGGGGATCAGAAGAGTTTTCAAAATATTTCAAAGGTGGTTTAAGCACCTAAGCTAGAAAGAGAACAGCAATTGGGAAGCAGATGCTGTATTGTGTGTTTTATGGTTATCGTTAGTTTTCTTTCGGGTTAAACAAGCTTCGGTTCAGTCAAGCATTTGATTTCCCTTTACCAGAATAATAATGATCTGCAGCCTAGTAAATCACCAGGGAACATTATGCTTAGTGCTCCTGACTTTACCCAGAAAAGGCACAGATGGATCCAGCAAAAGAGCAGAGCTACACACATGCATATACATGCCTACAAGAACAACAGTAAGTAAGGATTAGTTTGGAAGAGAAAGGAACATAAACAACACCCTAGAAAGCAAGCAGCAAAGGGAAGGCCAGCAGCAAGATCCCAGGTCAACTTCCATAAATACAGGAAGGGAGTGGGGCCAGAAATAAAAAAACCAAAGAATCTCTCCATCCCCATCTTAAAATAGCTACAGGGAAATGCTTTATAGAAATTCTGGAATCATTAGCTTGTGGACCCTGTGGCTGACACATCATCAGAGCAGCTAGCTCACTAAGAGTCCAAAGAGGGTTAAATGTTTTATATAAACTGTATTTGCAGGAACTGGCTATGAAACACCTTGCTTAAAATAATTGCCAGCTAGGGTCACATATAAATTTCTCAGGACCAAGCAGCATAATTAGGTACTTCACAGCAACACATAAAATCCTCATCCTGCAAATGGTATTGGTCATTGCTGGAAGCAGGCCAGGAACTGGAAGACTGATTTGCTGGGCAAAGATATCTTTTTTTTTTCCTTTTTAACAGATTTGGACAGGAATGAACAGAAGCAAACTAAGTGCCCTGGCACAAAAAAAAGCAAATGAAGGGCTAAGTCTTCCTTCCACCTCTAGCTCTATGTACAGCTGTAGGCTTTTAACCATATGCACCTCCTCCCTCCTTTTCTGAAAAGGAGGGTTGGTTTCTTACAAGCTTTGTTGAATTCCACTTAGCCCCACACTGCCGTCACTGGACAAAGCTATAATAAGGGGTCAGTGTCTACACTAGGAGGCAGAGAGCTTAGTTGGGGTCCCCCCTTTGTTGGGCTCCAGGCAACGTTGCCCAGAGATCCTCTGGACGCATAAGCAAAGGCGGTTCCACAACCTTTGATGGAGTGCAGCTAGCAACTCCCTGTATCTTCCCTCTCCTCTGCCAGCAGGCCATAGGACTGCCAGATTACACGGGGCAGAGTTGTGAGGAGTAGTTTACAGGAAACCCAGAGGAAGGACTGCACCCAAAAGAAGCCTGGCATGCCATTTAATGACAAGAGTGTCCCTTCACTGTAGAAGGCTCCCTCCAGCACACTCTCGGAAAATATCAATGCAGAAATGAGAGCTCCAACTCACCTCCCACATGGGTTTGATCCCTTCTTTGAAAAGATGGAAGTCACTATGGCCTGTCAGGTCCCCAGGACGTACCATGTGACTGTAAAACCGCCAGAACTGCTCCACCTGCAAACACAAACCACACAACGAGGCTGCTCAAACCATGCACAGCCAAGATTCCTACAGAAACAGGCTTCACCTTCTACACCAGCTGCCCAGAGCCACCTTGTCACAAGGCTGTTGATCTGCATTCTCAGAAGGCAGCAGTAGGATCAAAACTTCAGTGACCGTTTCTGACTGGCTCCACTACCAGATGACCATTTGAAATATTCCACAGGTGCCTCCAAAGTTACTTGGTGTTTGTCTGAAGAAATCTGTACTAAGATAACTGCTGCCCTAGAGAACAGTTCCAAACATATCTTGTAAATCCTGCTGCCCAAAGATCCAGTTAGTGGATGAGCATCAAGCGCATCAGCGACAGCCAAGCCTCTCGACACTACACACATTAGCCCTGCGTTAACCATCGCTCTCCCAGATCGTGGAGACTGCAGGAGCCTCCAAATGAGACTTTTTTTGTATTTCATTTTACTGTGTTCAGGTTTTAAGACAAAAGACCCATTCTGGTGCTGGCTTAAGACCTTAAGGCACCATTCAGGGCTTTTCTTTAAATACCTATTATTTCCTTCTACAGTCTGCTGTGGTACATACGACCACGTCACTCTGACCAGTTTCCATTCTGGCACCCCTGTGTCTACTTCAACCCAGCCAGAACTATCTTTCCTAATTCTTAAAAATGTATTTATCCTTGGAGATTCTCTGAATGAGAAAGGATCTTAGTGAGTCTGGATCTTTAAAACAAAACAAGGCACTGGAAGAGATTATACTAATTACTACACTTTAAGAGGACTCTACTCAGCAAGACAATAGCTATTAAGCAGACCAGCAGTGAAGCTGGCAGGATCAGATGCTATCCCAATTACTTTATCAGAGACCTTAATGACTTGGTCAGCACTTGGAATTCTGCTGCAATCTCTGACCTCTGCCATCCAAGCAGGAATTTGCTTTTATAGCCAATAAAATTATGAACCAAGACTGAGGTGGGGTCAGAAGCAATCTATTTTTGTCAGACACATTGAAATGCAGCGTGGAAAATACTCTCACACCAAGTGGACATGCCCTCTAGTGGTTATCATTTAAAAGCTTTTAGAGGTTTCTACTGAAAAGCAAAGAGTAAATCTGATCCCAGATTTAGGCTCAGACAACTCTTTCTGAAGCTTGTTCTTCCTTCTCTTTAAACAGAATTTGGAACTAAACACACTATCAGAACTGTGGATCAGCCTCCCTCCATCCTAACTGGACTCCAGCACTTCCAATCTACAGCAGCAACCACCAATTCTTTACAGGAAAGAACAGACAACAGAACACGTGAAGTTTTACCTCTAAGGAGCTAAAAAAAGCAATATTGAGTCTACACTGATTGAACAGACTGAAAAGTTATTGCCAAATCATCAAGCAGCAGGCATGTTTTTCATTCACTGAACTGAAAGGACTTGCTCACACAGGGGAACAGCAGTAACTACTCATGATCCAACAGGCTTAGAGCTATTCTTCCTACTCCTGTAGGGATGCAATAACACAGCCCAGCTGCCTGGACAGGCATATTTTTGTAGCCTCCAGAAGGGATAAAGGAGTATTTTTACAAATTCTCACATTACAGAATATAGAGATTTACTAGTGGGTAGAATTAACATTTGCAATGGGACCATGGAAAATCTGGACAAAATACTAGATTTAAAAAACAAACAAACAAAACACCAAAACCAAAAAGCAGCCAACAGACTTCCCAGCCTTGAGAATGGCATTGTATGTGGTGCCTGTACAACAGAGACATGTTTTCCTTATGTATCTTGGGATCTTAATGACAGTTTTACACCGCCAGTACTATGCAACACCCCAGCACTGCCTTTCCAGGATATGCTCAATTTATTCCAGGAATAAACAACCACAAAGAGTGGAAGGGGAAAGGGAGAGCAGTTTGCCTTTTAACAAACTTCACTGCAACACCAAACTATATCTCATCCATCACTTCCAGACAGGCTGCTTGTATATACAGCACACCAGATGACTGTTCCAAACAGTCTTTTTGGTGGAAACACAGGCTGGGGGAAGTACTGTACAGTCTTTGCTTCACAGCTACACTGCAACCAGAAAAGCTGTTCTTTTCTTCTCTTGCTTACCTGTCAAGTTCTGCTCTAGCCAGCAGATTTAAGCTACATGGGAGGTCTTTCCATTTACTGTTATTACTCCAGCTACCACCATTACTGCAGACACAGATGTCTAGCACAGGGCAGAGGAGACCTGCTTAAGACATCACCTGAGTTGGTAATTCAAGAACTCCTGCATAAGTCATGGCAAATCACTTGCTCTCCTCTATTCCCAACAACGAGAGCACAGCCTGCATGTGCCTAAAGCCAGCACGCAGGGAGTAAGCCAGCCCCGATGACCACGCCATGCCCAAGTGACACGAGGACAACAGGGATGTACTCACGGAGGCAAAGGTGCCAATCTGTTTGATGTTCTGCTCATAACTCTGTGAGCTGGTAGGCCTCCCGGGGGTTCGTCTGGAGTACCAGAAGGTGTAATTATACTGCAAGGGGTGCTCCGCCGGCCCTGGAACAACAGCCTGCAGAACAGAAAAGTCGTATACATACCCCTTGCACACTCCTCTAAAGAGGGAACAGGAAGAATTACATCCACAGTATCAGAAGTCCACAAGTTCCTCCCCTCACAGACTAAGAAGCAAACAGCTGATCCTCCTTTTTATATAAGAATACTCTGTTAATTGTCTGAAATAAGCCATTAGGCTAACAGGAGCTGACTACTTCAAAGAATATTAGACAATTGCAGTGCAGGGATAGCTAAGGAAATAACAACCTAAGCTCAGGAGCGCATCACAAAAAAAAAAGCAACCCTCATAACTATTAGAGGCAGTATTACTAAGTTTTCCCTTAGTCCTCATCTGTTCCAGACAAACTGAAAAGCACAATGCAAGAGTTTTAACTTTTTCAAATTAAGAAAAAAAAAAAGAAGAAAGAAAAAGACACTCTTCTCCTCTGGGAAAAGCAAACCCCATTTATATTAAACCATGATTCAAAAGCAATTATAACTCTTTGGTGACACAACTCCCTTAAGCAACCAACACCCTAACTCTCGGAGAAGATCAGTCTGGCTTAGAACTCGTTATGTCAGCTCCGGCAGAACCCTCGGCTAGCAGAGGAGAGTGATCATTTTTCAATTTCCAAAACACGTATTTCTGATTAAAAAGACTTATAATGAGCATAAAAGAGGCCAATGAAAACTTACTATTCAAGAGTCAAAACTGACTGAAAAAAATCCCCCCCCCAAGCCCTCACTTCGTATCACTTGATGTTGTTACAGGAGTAATGAGGCCTTAGATCTCTACTCTCCTCGTCTCTGCTAAGTTCATAAGGATTGTGTGACCAGACAGAACAGCTTTCCTAAGCGCAAGACAAAAAACCCAGGATGGACACATGCCTTCTTAACCAGGCTACAGTACACTCACAGAGACCCCGTCTTAAGGGTTATGTCAACAGTGGCACAGGCACAACCTGGTAAACCAACTGCAAGCTACTATTCCCCTGTAAATCAGTCCTTCCCCTCCACACTCTTCCAAAAAAATATTTTTTAGGAAAATAAAGCTTTCTCATTTCTGTCCAAAAGCCTGGCAGAGCACTAGCTGTTTCTGTGAAGGGAGCATTTGCCCCCCAGACTACATGCCTCCAAAAGTACATCAAATTACAGAAATGCTAATGTAGCCCCTCTGTCTTCCTTGCAACATTAAGAGCGCGTTAGGCAACCGCAGCCCACCAAGACACATCTTCCTTGTCCCTGAACCGAGGACACTCCCACATCATGCCCTAAGCAATGGAACGCAGGTGCCAGCACCATACCTTCCTCTTGGTAGTACTCTGGGGTTTCTCCCGGTCGTTCTTTTCCTTCTCACTGTCTTTCTGTGTGTTATTCTCCTCGTTCTGGTCATGGTCTCCACTATCATCATCTTTCAATCTGAAAAAGAAGGAAGCAAGCGAGTCTTGCACCTCGCAGCTGAGAATTTCCCTACCCGGCCCCAGCAGCCTCTGCTTCTGAGCGCCTCCGTGGCACGTGGGCCGTCAGCACTTGGAAATCTACTCTCTGACAGCCCACAGAGGGAACACTACTACCGCTCTGCGCGCTCAGAGCCCACCACGGGCGTCTGAGGCACTCTTACGCAGAAGCGAGCGACCAAGCGCCTTTTCAGAACAACCTCACGCAGTGCATAGCAGGCACAGGTAACCCCGGGTACCGTTGGGGTCCCCAGGGACGCCGGCGGCGAGCACGGACACGCTTCACCCTAACTCGGCTGACTTAGCCCAGCAGAAGCTGCCCCCCCCTCAGACGAGCAGACACCACGACAGCGCCCA